CCGTTCCCTCGACCGGACGATTGCCGAAACCGCATTGCAACGTGCTTATGGCACAATTGCGGGACTACTTGCACACTGCAGTACCAGCTCCGTTGATGGACGTCGGAGCAGAGGTTGTCGACCTTCACGCTTTCATCGCGAAGATCGACCGCGAGTTCAAGACGCAACGGTACGACGACATCGACGCACCATTGCTATACATACGCATTCAGATCGGAGAGGTGACCTGCAATGCCTTGATCGATTGCGGAGCATCTCGCAACTACATCAGCCAGGACTTCATGGTACGCGCCGGCCTTGGCCCACGTGTCTGGAGGAAGTCCCAGCCTACGCAAGTCACCGTGGCAGACGGTCATACACACAAGTCCATCGACCGGTGCATTGATGCCGTCCCAGTGTACTTTGCCCCTCACGCAAGTGAGGCGGTGTCCTTTGACATTCTAGACACCAAATTCGACATGATCTTGGGCATGTCATGGCTGCGAAGCAAGGATCACCCGGTGAACTTTTGCAACCGCACCGTTCACGTTCGTGACCGGAACGGAGTACTAGTTCCATGCACGGTGCCTCTTCCTCATCCTTCGATCAGCTGCCACGTGGTATTCGCCGCAAGCATGCGAGCTTCCATCATCAGAGACGACATCGAGGARATGGGGGTGTGTTTTCTCCATGCCCTCCCGCCACATGACGCTTCATCGACAGACTCACCTTCGGATCCACGCATCACCGAACTTCTCGACGCCTACAGCGACGTGTTCGAAGACCCGCATGGAGTAGTACCGGATCGACCCATCCGCCACGAGATCATCCTCGAGGACGGGGCCGTACCTCCTCGCGGTTGCATCTACCGAATGAGCGAGGAAGAGTTAAGTGTGCTTCGGGCACAACTCGACGACCTTCTAGAGAAAGGCTGGATTCGGCCTAGCTCATCGCCATACGGTGCTCCTATTCTCTTCGTCCGGAAGAAGAACAAGGATTTGCGGTTGTCCATCGATTATCGCAAACTCAACGCGCAGACGATCAAGAACGCCGGCCACGCATCGACGACCTTCTCGAGCGATTGGGCGGCGCCCAGTTCTTCTCTAAGTTGGATCTCAAGTCAGGGTACCACCAACTCGAGATTCGCAAGGAGGATCGCTACAAGACCGCKTTCAARACTCRRKATGGGCATTTCGAATGGCTGGTCATGCCATTTGGCCTTACGAATGCCCCAGCCACTTTCCAASCGGCTATGACGACGGAGTTCCGACACATGCTGGATCRTYTYGTACTTATATACCTCGACGACRTTCTGGTTTACAGCCGGAGTCTGGACGAGCATGTGGAACACCTGCGCACCGTTTTGGAGCGGCTACGACAGGCCAAGTACAAAGCAAACCGCGACAAGTGCGAGTTCGCACAGCAGGAGCTGGAGTACTTGGGACACTATGTGACGCTGCAAGGCATCCGTCCGCTTGCGGACAAGATCGAGGCCCTACGAGTATGGCCCGAGCCCACCAACACCACGGACGTTCGTTCATKCATGGGGTTGGCGGGCTACTATCAGCCATTCATCACTGGATACTCCAGGATTGCTGCACCTATGACGAGGTTACAGTCGCCAAAGGTGCCATTCGTATTCGATGACGACGCACGCCGGTCATTCCAAGCACTTAAGACGGCTATGCTCATGGCACCCGTCCTTAGCATTTATGACCCCACCCTGCTGACACGAGTGACTACGGACGCTTCCGGCTATGGCATTGGGGCAGTCTTGGATCAGCAGGACGGCGACGACTGGCACCCTGTGGAGTATTTCAGCCACAAAGTGCCTCCCATCAACTCGCTTGATGATGCAAGGAAGAAGGAGCTGCTCGCATTCGTGATGGCTCTCAAACGCTGGCGGCACTTCCTCCTTGGGCGTCGTAGGTTCACATGGGTCACAGACAACAATCCATTGACCTACTACAAGACGCAGGACACGGTGAGCAGCACGATCAGACGATGGATGTACTTCATCGATCAATTTGACTTTACACCAAAGCATGTGCCCGGCCTCTCCAATCGCGCAGCAGATGCACTCTCGCGAAGACCTGATCTTTGCGCTATGACACATCATGCCTTCGCATTTGATGAGGAGCTTCAGCGACACTTCATCCGGGCATATCAGTCTGATCCGGACTTCGGCACGCTCAATGCACAGCTATCTTCGGATCACCCGCCGGCCAGCCATTACCGCATCGCCGACGGGTACTTGCTCCTCCACTCGAGAGGCAAGGACTTACTATGTGTCCCACGTGACCGTCGTCTTCGGACTCGCCTCCTCGGCGAGTACCATGATTCACGACTCGCCGGCCATTTCGGAGTCAACCGCACTATTGCACGACYTCGACAGCGATTCCGATGGCCCGACCTCATTACCGATGTCACTCGGTATTGCGACTCTTGCGAAGTTTGCCGACGCAGCAAGCCCCGCAACCGCAATCCCTACGACGAGTTACACCCGATGCCTATCCCACGGGAACCCGGTCTCTCCATTGCCATGGACGTCACCGGTCCGTTTCCTCGCGACCGGCTCGGGCAYGACGGCATCCTCACGGTTGTGGACCGATTGAGTAAGTATGCGCGTTTTCTCCCTTGCAAGTACTACTCCACGGCTCCCGAGCTGGCACGCCTCCTGCACACTGGTTGGATTTATGGCCACGGTGTACGAAAAGACATTGTCAGCGACCGCGACACTCGTTTCATGTCGGCGTTTTGGACTGCTCTCATGCAGGAGTCCGGCACAACAATGAAACCAAGTTCGGCTCGACACCCTCAGACAGACGGGCAGACGGAGCGGGCACATCAGACCGCTCAAATGTCGACAAGCCACGATCGAAGGACAGCGACGACCATTGCTCCAATCGTAACAACCGCTTTTCGGTTGTTGCGCAACTTGTGGTCGATTCAGACCTGCATGTCCTTGACTTTTGCTACGGCTTTCCCGGGACTGTCGGCGATGCGCGTGTTCTGAAGAATAGTGAACACGTCGCTGTACAGGCGAGCCCTGAAGGGGTCGTTGTTCGTCGACAGCCCTGAAGACCCCTCCGTGCTCAGAGGCCTTCCATCACCGGTGTTCCTGGAGGGTACTTGCTTGGTGATGGCGGGTATCCCAATCTTCCTTGGCTTGTAATCCCATACGGACGACAGCCCCGACTGACGAGGGCCATGCAGCGCTTCGACGCTCTTCACAAGATTTTCGGGTCTTGTGTTGAGTGATTCTTTGGGGTATTCAAAATGCGTTTCCAGTACTTCTATCGCCCGCATATAGGTGACATTGCAACGGAGAGGTTGGAGTTTCGTGCGTGTTGCATCATTCATAACCTCCTTCAGGATTGGGGTGATTCGCCAGAGGCGGACGACGAAGATAGCGATGTATTGTCTCCTGAAGGTCCGCCACCCGATGTTGACAGGCTTGTGGATGGTGCCCCTCTGGAGTTCATGTTTGGAACGGAGCATAGGCAGGCCGTGAGGGACGCACTTTGTACGGAGGCCTTGCATTTGTGAGGACGTACTGGGAAGATCGTGCTCGTTCTTCGAAACCTTGCTGCGTCATGCCACCGTCTGGGGTCGTCTCTTGTGAATCGCCACGACTATCCTGGCCGATCGGTGACATGGCAACGGGTGCAGTTGGTTCACGGGCCTGCACCGTCACATTCCCTCGAGAACCACCGGAGGACGTACTCGGACTACCATGGCCAGTCAGTGACACACGTGGAGCTGGGGAGTCACACGCTCCGACGGAACCTTGGACGGTGTGTGTGGTGACGCCCTCCGCCATTGCCATTGCACGCATCCGCAAACGCTGCCTCAGACTATGCTCATCCTCACCACCCACCCCGACTCTGAACATGCGCACTGGCCTCACAGGCGAAGACAGACCACGACCGCCTGTGACCACATTGGAATGAGCTTGAGCGGTGGCGTGACTCGTCACCTGCCGCACGTGCAGTCCTGGGGACCCGACCCCCTACACCGGTTCTTCCGAGAACACGGAACTGTCATGTGCTCGTTGCAGACCCCCCGCCGATGGGAGGACCTGTGTCCCGTCACTCTCCTCGACGGGGTGTGGTGACGGCCACCCTCCACCAACAGCCGGTGAAGCATGCTGCGAACAACCGGTGACCGCTTCAGAGGGGATGTTCGGTCCTGGGACCTGCGACGATGCCCCGCCACCCCCATAAAGATCTATACTGTTCTGGGACTCCGAGTATCCCCAGTCATCGATGCAAGAAAGGCCGTGGTTTTGGCTGTACTGGGCCATGGAGGCGGAGGGCGTCGTGTACAGCCTTCACAGAGTCAAGACTGTCACCGTCCAGCTAACAGATGACTGCGGAGACGGACAGAAACGGTATGCATTCGACAGCAACAACAAATGTGTACTACCGTCACGGCCATACCGACCCTAAACCAGAGAAGCAACATAAGAGGTGGCGGAAGCGGCCGTGTGATGGTGGACGACGGTGGGCCTCGCTCTAGTACAAAAGGGCGCTCACTTCTTTGTTACAAATTCACGCTCTTCGAATCATCCGAATGCATCTTCTCCCTGAATCGTCCAAATGCACGCACTGCGGCGTATACCGGAGCGAGACCCGAAGTGCTCGTATGGGGAAAAAGACAACTCCCTAGCGTTTCCACATACCCACTTACCCAATCTGGAAAATCAGGGAACGCCTCCGTTCAGAAAGAATCATGACTGTGGGTGCACATAGACAGACTGCTAGACCCCATTCGAGTGTACTGGTTGGACTGCGTGCTACCAATCCACAACACAACACTGACACAATTCTTCCCGGCGTCTTTCATGGGCACTGCGCGAAGAAGACGGCGGAAGGAATTGTTTTCCGACGTTTTCCTTATTTTTGCGACGACAACTTCCGTTAGCGCGAAGCTTCAAAATTACCCCATGGGTAAAAAAACACTGATTTTGAAGCTTCGCGGCAACGGAATGTGGCCAACAAAATAACGCACAAAACATTTTTAAAACATCCTAATGGCCGGCTGCCACTCCGACGGCCTTCCCGACTCCAAAACTCGGTGTGCAGTCGATGTGGATGGCGATCAGCGGCTACCGTGAGTCACCCCAAGCCGCACGTGCCGAAAGCCCAGCCGCAAAGCGTAACTCTTCGCTAGTGGGTCGAGGCCCCTGGACAGCTATGAATTCCCCCTCGGCGACGGCCGAGCGCGGCGAAATCCGCGGACGTGGCCAGTCCGCCGACCCCGCGGACGCGTGGCGGCCGGTGGGGAGGGGGGTTGGGGATTTGGAAAGCGCCATGGGGCGACGAATCCCCAGCCCC